AATAATTTATTGTGTTAATTTCTGTAGATTAAATAAAAAATTTAATACAAAATGTTTATACATTTAATATATATATATATTTATATATTTTAGAGAGTTTTTATATATTCAAATAACTGCAATAAATAATATTATTTAAATTAATTTATTCATAGTAAAATACATTATTATCTATAATATGATAAACGTTACAACAATATTTTATAAAATTCATTTTTATTACGAACTTCCTAAATTATATATCAATATCAGTATCAATGTGAGTATTAGATAAAAGTATTAACAACAACGCTTAAGATTACAGGTTAAACTATATTTCTGTTCATAAATGTTTTACACCTATATTCATTAGGATTTATTACGGTTTTGTCTACACACCAGTAAATACACTACATACAATTAGAAATATTAGTTTGCTTAACAGTAGAGTGTTAGTTATACTTAAAAGTAATAAAACTTTAAATTTAAATTTTAATTTTGCATTAGGTAAGCCATTAATCGTGTAAACTAATATCCAACATTTTAATAGTTTAAATATAATTGAGAATGAAGAATATAGTTTCTAAGTAATTGGACATTAAGAAAAAATTAATTAACCAGAATAGAAGTTTTTACTATATTTTGAAATACACCACACGATAAACTATACCAAACTAAGTATTCAGTTGAATGCCTTAAAGTTAATTTGAATTTAATATAATTAATTAGCTTATATTATGGAATTAATTAAGCTTCGTTGTTGATCTTATCTGGACATTTAATAAAATAAAATAAATTTACATTAACTTTTTTCGGGTTTAATCACACTGTTTTATATTTCCTCAGTATGATAAATTTGGGCGATTGTAAACTCTGCCAAAATATCGGTTAAGATAAAAAGGTAATAAAAGGTCTAGTGTAAACTCCACCAGTTTTTTTTTTTTTTACCTGTAATGAGTATATGTAAACTCTGCCAGTTTTTTTGTTTACCTTCTCAGTGCTTACATTGCTACGTGCCTTCTCACATTAAATACGTTGATATCTATTGTCTATTGTGCTTTTTTTTTCTGAGATTAAAATATTTAATGTGGACGATTTTTAATTATATATATTTTTATTATATAATATAAAGTTTTGTTTAATAATAGGTATATCATACTAATTTTATACTTCTACTCGATTTTCTTCTCTGGTGGAGTTTACATGTACTCAATTTTACCTGATCTTTTTTTTTTTAGTGGTGGAGATTACATGAACCCGATTTCACTTGTTTTATTTTTCTAGCGAAGTTTACATGCGCCCGATAAATTTATATGTAAACCAACAGGTCGAAAACCCAGAGGCAGATCCAAGAAATAACAGATGGATGGAGTGCGTCAAGATCTAGAGAGACTAGAAGTAACAGATTGGGAGGAAATGATATAAGATCGCAATTATTAGAGGTCGGTGACAGTGGCAGCCAAAACTCTTGTAGAGTTGTGAAGACACATAAGAATAAGAAGAAGTTGATACATTTTTAACTATAAATTACTATTATTATTTCGGTTTAAAAGGTATTTTAAAATAATTCGTTAAAATAAATAATATGTACGTAAAAAAAATAAATAATTTAGATTACAATTGAATTATATTGGGTATAAAATAATATAAAATCATCAGCATTTTTTGTAATTAGTAACTAGAAATATAAACACTACACAATTTTTTATATTTTTTATAATTTTTAAATTTATAAATCTTAATTTCTTTAAATTGGCATTCAGTATTTGCTTTTATAAAAATAATCTTATATAAATACTGTTATATTGTTTATATTGTTTTCATACAAATAATTAATCAGTTACGAATATACAAAGGAACTAAAAGATAATTTGTATACGTGTATATCGACTTTATATATGTATAACTATATATACATATGTATTATATATACGTATAAACTTAACATTAACACTTGTTACATTATTTACAATGCTCAGAAGACCGAAGAGAAGTACATGTGCCAGTACAAGCATGGTTATTGATGGTGTAAGCTATAAGGTATACTATAACGTTGTATTGTTTGTTATAATACAATTTTATAGGACAAATCAACAACACAAGGCATTATGATATTAAAAAAAAAAATCTATAATGGTATAATACTAATTGACCATGCTCCACTAGTTTCACTCATAAATTCAGCCTCAATTTTTTTTTAAAAAAAACCAATATTACAAAAAATAAAAAAAATAAAAATATTATAATTGTATATGACCTCGGTCGCGTATAGGTTTCAACTATATCATGGGAACCACAGCACACTTGGCGTTTTCAAAGTTTTGTCAGAATATACACCACGACCGTCCGGAAGAACCGATGGGTCATGGCCTCCGCAGCTGAGGTTAATAATATCGTTTGGAGCGGTTCACTTTTACGTCTGCAATTTGTATTATTTCTTTCTAATGTGTGTGTGTGTGTATTTCCACGCGTGTGTTTGTGTATGCGTATGCTTGTAATGAATAATAATAACAAAAACGGCAATACTCCATGAAGTTCCAGATTATAATTATCTTCTTAGTCGGGTAATTCGTGTACCTACTCGCAATTATATTATAAACATACAAAAACTGCACCACCTTGGTTATTGCATAGGACTCACTCGTGAAAATCACTTTGTCACGTCAACTTAGACATTATAAGTAGCATTACAAACAAACGATCACTACCTATATAATATTATATTATATTTCGTATATTTATATATCAATTATTTTGTTATTATATTTTTATACTTTTTTCTTCTTAAATCTAAGTGTATAAAAAAAAAAAAGTATTAAACCAATCAGACTGACTTGTTAAAAAAATATTTTAAAGAACATTTAAAATTATAATCTTTTTATCGCTCCAATTCTCGATTATATAGCAGTCGATGTTTCAAACCAAGACGAATAGATGAATCAAAATGTAGTTATATTATTATCTAATTATTATTTTTTTTAAATGTAAAGACGCTATACAGAGGGACACTGACCAAGACCATGAGATCTTACTAACCATCACATCCTTTATTATTCATGGCTAAGCGAAGGACTTTTTATTGAATTATTTTTACGTGAATCTTTTCAGCAGTAAATTCTCATAATATTATAATTAGAATATCAATTGGCAGTATAATTATAAAATTAATTGCACAGTATTGCGAAAATATATATTATTACTCAATGTGTATTACAGTAAGTACATCATATTTATACTTAATAATTTAAATTAAAAATGGTAATACTTGAGAAGTACAACGGATTTTTGAATATATAATTATATAGGTATAGGTAGTATAGATACACGTTTTATAAAATTAATAAATAAATGAGTAATTGAAAAATACAGGTAAAATTTTTTAATTGAATAATATACAGCAAAAAGGAAATTTTTAGGACTAAATAGTGTAACACTTAAACAAAAAAAGTGATTGACGTAATTTATTATTTACATTCACCTTGTTATAAAGTTCAAAATATTCATACATTTGTAATGGTATTATTTCCTTTCGAATCCATCAGCATCATGTCCTTGGTGTTAAAATGTATAATCTATTGAAAAGTTAATTATTTATATCATGCAAGTTCTATTTTCCACAGCTGTGCGGGTGTTATTATTATGTCTAAGTAATTACTAGTCTGCATATAAATGATAAACTCCGATATATAAAGTAGGTCCTTTATATGACATAACCAATTGTTTTGAGCTGAAACATAGTTTTATAATCGTGAAGTTAGCTACTCCTTTATATATAAGAATTTTAAATTATATCAATAATGTCGAGCGTATTTTTTATAAAGATAAATCATAATAATGAAAATTATTTTTGAAATCCATTTCTTTTAAACATTTACTTCTAATCTAATCAAAGAGAATAATCTAAAAAAATGTACAAATTGGATTTTAGGTTTTTTTTTCATAAGTAAAAAATGAATATTTTTAAATTAAGTATATAGCTAAGTTATTTTGAAATTATATTAACAACTAACAAATTAAATAGGATTATTTGAAGTAATATGTCATGAAACTAAATCTTATTAAGTTGTGACTTGTACTTTATAACGGTACATTTTTTTCATTTGCCTTTTCTAGCTCCGAATACTATACTTTCAAATTGGTCTAAGATAGCTTACAACAATAATTTTCAAGTTTTGTTTAGTTTACTAAAAATGTTGTATTGTTTGTAGGCCACTTTTATTTTAGTCAAGAGAGTTATAATAATTCTACAATAATTATAATTTAAATATTTAATGAAACTCAAAACCATATAACTCATGAAAATAATTGAACAATATTTTTTTGTCGATGAATATTATGGGCAGTAGGTAGTATAAGGTATTTTGTCAATTAATAACCTAAAACCGTATGGTTATACATGTTTATATTTGTATAAAACTGAAAGTATACTTAAATATTTCTATTCTATTGCCTTATTTTATTTATTCTATAAAATATTTGAGTAAAAATGAAACTTGTAAGTTATTGAAAACTACAATGATTGTTTCTAATAAAATATATACTATGCATGGTCACACTATTCAGTTTTTGTTGTTCGACCTTATTTCTATTCATGTGCTTGTTGATAGCTCATAAATTTACCTATTTTAACCTTTTAATAAATTAGATGTTAAAAAATAATAACAATATTTAATATTTTACTAGTACCTACTTCTACACGATTTGTGCATTAAACATGATAAATAAATAGATAACAACAGTGTGGTGAAATTAATTCTTAAAAATAAAATTGCCTAGCAATTTTAAAACAATTTGAAAATTGTGTTGAGCAACAGTCATCTGGTATTTTATTGAACACGAAATATACCGGATCAGATTTGTGTACTATTAACGAAATTAACGTGAACTTTTACTTCTTAATCTTAAAAATTCATAATCCTTCGAATTATTTATTTTGCAATAACCATAATGAACAAGTAAATGGTAATACTGTAAAATGTTTTAAATTACAACTATTGTGAGACACGCAAACATTCACTATAATATCTTGTATACTATCTTAGTCTCATACAGTGGAGTCTGCGCGTGTAAATATTAAGTTACGCGTTGTTTGATTGAGTATCGCATTTTAATTTTTTTTGACGGAATCGAACTTGTTAACGGAACGAATCACAAAATGAAGTAAATACCGTTTCTGTAACCCACACGCGAGAATCGAAGCTCAAACTACTTTGTCTGCCAACATATTTACAACATTTACCTTTTTCCATTAATTTGTTAATTTGTTAATTTTTTTTTTTTTTTATTATAAAACATATTCGATAAATCATTTTATAAATAATTTAACATAATTTTATAAATCATGTTGTTTTGTTAGTGACAAGTAAAATGTGCGGTTGTTGAGTGTGCTGATTGCCGCTGTTTGGCGTCCAAGCATGCGTAATGTACAAATTTACATTTTGTTCTGCGTTTTTCACGAACACAATTATTAATAACTACGCGTATGTTAATATTATTCATAGACAATATACACGTGGTGCGAAACTCTCGAACACTGCTCCGCTTGAACCATGACTCCTGCGCAGGCTGTGGTCAGACACAAAAAAGCAGACTGGGAAGACATAGTGGGCAGGAGTGCAGGACAATATTGCGCAACTTCGATGCACCGAGGTGAATCGTACGTCTACTCCACGTACTGCTTCCGTTGCTCGATTGGCGACGATTCTCTGACGGCCATTTACTTGTTTCGGCTGCACGACGGTACACTAGTAGAGAACCAGCGGACCGTGACTGACAATTTGCGTAGAGACATTGACAACATCTTTGTCTGGACGAGATGCGTTAGAAAGTCAAGATCAACGGTGCGAAACACACTTCGGAATACAATCCAGTACTGCCTGGATCGTCGCGTAAATACGGATTCAGAAAGATGTCTGGTAGTGAGTGAATAATCCAAAATCGGAAGATAATTTTTGTTAATCGGACGACATTCTACAGCAAACGTACGCAAACCGCGCAAACGTCATTGGACTATGGTAGTCATCGTTTAAACACCATTTTGGACTCGTACCTATCACACAACTATAGGGTTGTGCTCGTATGTAATTCCAGTACCGCGATCACGAAATGGCGTCAAAATATCGATTTTTTCTGAGATTATCGTTTCATTTCATATCGTAAATAATTTTTTTATAATCTCACATAGTATAATATTTTACTACGCCACCTTAGAACAGAGTAATTCGCATTTTATGTTTGCTGACTTGTTGTTATAACTGTTCGCTAAATGTCTTCATTATGTTTAAAAATTTTACAAGAGTCGTAATAATTACTTTTCTATTTGGTATGTGTGCTTTAGTATTTTATTGAAAAATCATTTAAAAAAAGTGAGCTTAACCGTTTAAACAACGAAGCAGAAAAATACATTTTATTGTAAAGACGTTCAGTCTTTAAGATGATTATAATTATACAAAATGTATTGTAATTTTACAGTATTTATTCAAGGTTATATTTTGTGAACTTAATATTTCAATGACTATTATTTAATATTATATAAATTATATAGATGATCTCATGAAACGAAATCGATAGGATACGTTTATTTTATTATTAAAAATTTTAATTCATTACGAAAAAAAAATTATTTTTTTAAGTTACATATACTTTACAAGGATAATAAGTTAATCAAGTTTGCAATATTTCATATACATTTTACAACATTAAAATAACAAAACTAAATATATGTCTGTTAATTAACAACAGAAATTGTATTTATTTTAAATTTAAATGAATTTAAGTTGAATTATTTATGTTCGTAGAAATAACAAAATAGTAAAATGCTTATAGGGAGTTACAAACGGTTTTTTTTGGTTTACAATGATTTTTTAAGTTAATTATTGACAATTATATTTATTTTGTGCTCATAAAAAAGTATTTAACTGAATTTATGCTCAATATTATGCAACGAAAACAATGTAAACGATAATAATAAAAATAATAATAATAATAATATCCATAAAGTTAATAATAGTTTTACTTTTTATGGTTACCCCATGTGGTTAACCGATATCTGATACGTGAATACGTATATGGATGAATGTTAATGATTAATGACATGTATTCATCGACACACATTTTATTGGGTAATTATAAAAAAATTGTTATACATTTATATTAGAGTTTTAAATATACGTATAATTTACATAGTAGATATCAACATAAACAGATGTATTATAAATCATAGAAGATAGATTCAAATTTAATTACATAATAATCAACAGTACAATACACTAGTATAATAGTTTTATTTTTAATAAAATGTATTTTTACAACTTCACGTAAATTGTATAAAATAAATATTCATGTTTTCAATTAATATTGGAGGTCAATTTTATACTTTTTTATAGTATCAATGTTATTAGACATAAAACTATGAAACCAGTTAGAATTTAATGTCAAAACACTATAAATACTACAAGCAGTTAAATTCGAATATTTTATACAATTAAGTTGTTTTTAACTATTTTATTTCGACTACATTATAATTAGATCTTGTAATGGTCTTATCCACATTTTTTGTCTAGGTGATAAAAAATAGTCGATAAAAGTAATGGTTTGGAGTATATGTTTTTTGTTTTGCTGGTTTATTTGTTTCCATAAATTTAAAAATATTGATAGAAGTCGATTTAGAATAATTTAAAACACCGCTAACGTTTATAAATACAAATATTAGGGGGGGGGGGGAATCAAATGTTATATTATTTAAACTATTACTATTTTCTTATTATATATTAATCCTTAATTATACTTAGGAAATAATGAAAATGTAATTAATTTTTTTGGAAATAGTAAATTTAATTCAATAATGTTAAAACGTTATGCTCATGTACTTCTGGTGTGTACTTTTGATCTTCCTAAGAAATAAATGCATAACCGTTACCTGAGTACTATAAATAGTGTACTCAAATTAAGTACTTCGATCATATGAATGTAATTTGTTCCCAAAACTAAATGTACATGGTAGTAATAAACATTAATCATACTTCGACAATCGTACAATTTGGTGGGCTTTCAAATTTGTTCATTTTTACTATAACAAATTATTCTAAAACAGTATATTATGTATGAAAATAAAATAATTTTCCTTCTATTACAGTTGACGCATTTAGTTTTTAATGATGACATGTTAATATGATTAAAAAAAGTACTATTCATATATATATGTACATTGTACAATTATAAATTAAGACAACTACGACTGTCCACTAATAGTTGACTCTGCAGTATAGTCTGTATAGATTACCTTGAAAGTATTATTGAGAACGAAAGAAAAATCGTTTTTATTTATCGTAGACATATTTTCAGATATATTATATACACACGAATGTGTCATGAATACGTTATTCCAAGAAATATGAACGTCATAAACACACACGGGTACAATTATCTCGTATGTAAATACTTTCGTGTAAGATTTACTTAATCGTATTATAGTAAATAAAAATTGTAAAATTTCTGCAACATTTTGTATAACAATATAATGTATAATCCTGACGTTTTTATTATTTATGCATGGTATTATACCGTATCCGTGATTGCTCACAAGACATTAAATTGTTAAAATACGCACGTGCACATCGAAAAAGGTGACTTTATTTTATTATGATCATAATTTAGTGGATGTTCGTTGTTATCACATCGTGGGTCACAAGGACGAAACGACAGGCGACGACTGGTAAAGGAAAACCATTAATATCTTTCTTGTCGGTCTTTGCCATCTCGCGTCCAAAAAGGACCGACCGCGACCATAAAGTGAGACTGATAGTGTCTCCGATAACAGCGTCTCATTAATACGTCTAATTAATTTTTAGCGTAATCGTAATTGTATCTCTCTAAATACTAAATCACTATATCCTCTTGTTTTCCTTTTACCACTGGACAATTCTCTATTTTCGATAATTATACATATTATTGTTTATTATCGATTTTCTTATGCTTGCCATCAGTGCTACTCGGAAGTTTATCTAACTCAAAATAGAGCCACGTGTCTTATGTACTGCGAGAAATATCAAAATACATCGGGAAGATTTTGAATACAATATTTTAAAACACAGCGATTCAAAAAATATTTGATGTATGAAGCAGCGAATATGCAGAATATGCAGTACATGAAAAATATTTAATTATTATGTTATCTAATGTATATGCATTCAAAATATTATTTATCTTATAATTTCTACTTTGGATGTTAATTTAGGCATAACAGTTATTTAACTTTCGACAAAAAAATCGTTTCCCATTCAAATCGATATGTGTATTTTTAAACCAGCTAAGGTTAGATTAATTATTGTAACTTATTCATTTAATTTACAATTATGAAGAGAAAAATTTTAATACGAGTTTTTACAATACATTTGATTTACTCTCTATTTAATAACTAATAATTAAAAAAAATGATTTATATGCATTTATTTTTTTGCATAAGTCTATGTTATAGATAAACGGTAACAATATAGCTTGAATTATATTTGAAAACCAAATAACGAAAAAACAAACATGTTATTAGATGTTAATTAATTCTTATAAAATTAATCAATAGAGTACAGGTTTTTTTGTTTTTGTTCTCAGGGGTAATAATCGTAAAAATTAAGTGATATAAATAAAATTTATATTATAAAATGTTACATTCACATCATAAATCCTTTATGTTTATACATCCTTTGATATTCAAATTTGAGAATAATAATGATATTTAATTACCATGTACTTTTTTATAATATGACTATTGATTTATAACATCAAGATGGAAAAAAAATTATTATTAAAAATTGGTGATGATATAAAATGTACCTGAAAATTTTCTTAAATATATATTCGTAATTTGTTTATTAATATTATGTAATTTACTGTAATGTAAAACGTGTAGTAAAAAATAAATTACAGGTAACTGTAGCAATAACATATGTATTTGGTTTCAGAATTAAATTCAACTACCAATCAACAGTAATCAAAACTAAATTTAATTTTCCTCTATGAAAAAATATTATGTTATTTTTACATCACTGAAGAAAATAAATTAATCTGATAATAATGTACAAATAAATGTGTTTGTGTTGAATGCATTGTTTTAGTATTAATTGAAAAAAAATGTTTTGTACAGCATAAAATTCCATATTTTTAACAGAACAATGCAATTTATTGAAAAAACTATCAATGAATTTTTTTAATAGAAATGGTTACAATTTAATGTATACAATAATATTCATATATAATTTTTAATGTTTTAATGTTGAATTTATTATTAACATCAATGGATGTAAGCAAAGTGTGCCAAATATATATAATTATTAAAAAATAAAATAAATTATTGATAAATTAAGCAACCTAAATCCTGAATCCTAAGTAGAGAAAACCTGAGTTGGAGAAAAATTTACTCGATTTTAGTTTAAGTAATTTTATAGTTTTGAGGTATAGGTTAAATATTTCAGAATAGTTACAATTCGTATTTGGTTTTTGCTGTTTTTATTTTTGAAAACGATCTAACTATAACCAGACATTGTTAAACAAAATTATACGTCACAAAACTTTGAGTAAACCAAATACAAATGACTATTATCTAGTCACTTAATTATATAATTCTCTACTAATATTGTTAGTGCAAAATTGAATGCATTTACCTTAGTTTACAATTAGTGTGAACACCAAACATTATATCATATTTTTAAAATAACTCTCACACACGATCATTTTACATAGTTTATCTATGTGTCCATGTATTCGCTTTCCAACGTTTTTATTTGATCCTTATTTTTGAGAGACATTTTAGAATTGTTACTAGCAAACATAAAAGCATTGTTTTGGTCAATAATCAATTCATTTGGCAAAATAATACAAAAATATATTTAAAAAAATATTTCGAACTCTCGTAATAACACAATGTTCATTTTTTAAAATTATTTTATTTAAAAATAATTACAGGCTCGTTCACTATTTTATTGCATATATTTTATTGCACCATAACAACATACATAAAACCACTCTGCGCAAACAAGTTCCTTACAACTGAATAATTTATTTAAATTTGATGTGATTATTTTTTGTGGTATTTATAATAAGTATCAACAGTTCACTATTGAAGGTATATTCGTATATAAGTGAGCTTATAATTCTCACACAAAAGCACAATCATTTATGAAACTGTTTCAGTAGAAAAAATACCATTTTATTTAAAAGACAACACAATAAAGATTAGTTGATATTAGTATTATTAATTAAATTGAAACTTTAAATGGTTTTCATTTTATCAATGACGAATTTTGTGACATGATAAATCACAGTATATTAATAAATTATTCCATAAATATTATAAAAATGAAATATATAATATATTAAAGAATAAATACAAGTAATTTTTGGATGTATATTCAAACCGTATT